GGATGCCAGCACCAACATCCGCCCTCCCGTCGTCGCTCCCGTTGTCGTTCCCTCTCCCGCTCCCGCCACCGGCCCTCCCACCGTCGCCAATATCGCTGCCCCCACCGGTCTTGCTCCTCCCCCTTGTCTTGGTGCGATCGCTCCTCCGGCCCAAGGACCCACCATCATGACTGCAGCCAGTTGCGGCGGTTATATCAGTACCGATGATCGCGAACCCTCTGTTCTCGATGTGGATGACGTAGCTCCGGAAGCTGTCAGCAAGCCGTGCGACGAAATCAAGACGGAGCTAGGCGAGATCAACGAAGAGGAACCGGATGTCGCCGCCACCGAAACCGGCCCTGGTGACAAGGCCAAGAGTTGGCTTCGACGCGAGATCCGCTCCGCTTACGAGGGCCTGCATCCACCAGTCATACGTCCGCTCATAATCGACGGCTGCTTTCTGTGCGACGAGTCTCATGATGACGATAGCTCGGAGCCTCACAACCACGATAGCTCGGAGTCTCATGACTACGATAGCTCGGAGTCGCAGCAGAGCAACAGTGACTCGACTGCTCAGACGGACGTCTCCGTTCAGAGCTCGGCAGATACCAAGGGCGTAGCGGATGACGACGCAAGCACGCAGGTACAACTAGGCAGGAGCATCAAGACGCTCCCCACTCGTCCCAGCGTTCGCGTGCTGGCTGATGTGCTTCTTGCTCCCTTTACCCAAGGAGTTAAGCGTACATCTGAGACGGACACCGACGCCAAACACTCTGCTGCCAAGCGTCTGCGCACGGCGGTAGCGCCCAAGAAGCAGCCGCAGAAAGAGGTTCCGATCTGGATCCGTTTGCGTCGTCTTCGCCGACATCAGGAGGACGTCGAGCGACGCATGAAGCTCAAGCGTCGCGCGGACGCCGACGACAGCGTGCCTCTCGAGGGTAACAGAACGAAGCGTCGTTGCCTTGCTGGCGACATCCTTGTGTCGCAAGACACGCTCTTCCAGCTCTTGGTGCCACGAGCCGCGCCCTCCAGCCTGCCCAGCTCGCCGATTTCTAGCTGGGAGCCCAGTTTCATCAGGACGGAGACGCGCGTCCGTAGCGATAGCGTCTCGACCGACGACGCGATGGACCGGATTGCTCAGGTAGCCCCGATCTTCAAGCGCGGCGAGTTCAGGCGTCGTCTCCGCCGCACCGTTGCGTCCCTCGAGACGCTGTCCATCGCGTAGGACGTGGACCGTACGGTGGAGCCATCCGGATCATGGCAGGCGACGAGACTCTGAAGAACGTCCACCCTCAACTCGACCTTCCTGCCTTCGAGCAACGCGGCGCCATGAAGTCCGGCGGCTAAAACACTATTCAACTGTAGCAGGGCCAAATCAGACTGGCTCCAGCATCCCGTTCCCGCTTTGTCCTCGACGCTCGCCCAGCTGCTGATTGCAACCTCGGCGTCGCTACGAACGCTCGCTCGCTCTCACTGTTGGCGGTACACCCATCCGAAAGCTTATCCTAGAATTTCATCCCGTTCTGCGATGGAAGCAACACACATTTCTCAATCCTCGATCCTCGGCCTTGGTCTCGGTCTCGGTCTCGTCCGGTTTCAGCCCCAAATCAAATTCTTGGTCCGTCGTCCCGCCGTCTCACTCATTTCGTCACTTTTCCGACCACCGACTGGCAACTCTCAAATCTCGGTCCTTGACTTGGTCCCTAGGGCTCGCTTTCAGTTCTGACCCACCCCAACTCTCTCATTCCGTCAGCTCCCGAACGTTGGTCTCTTGTCTCGCTCTCGGTCTCGGCTCGCCCCGAACTCTCACACTCCGTCAGCTACGGAATGTTGGTCTCTTGGACGTCTCTTGGTCTCTCCGTCTCGCTGTCGGTCTTGTCGTCTCTTCTCGTCCGTTGCCATCTGCATTATACCTACTAGCATCATCATCGTCATCATCATCGAACGCCGTCGTCGTCATCCTCTCCCCAACGATGGGCTAGCCTCAACCCTCCCAAAGCAATACAGTCTGGACAGCCTCACCGTGGCTGAACGTGATGCCAACCTTCTCCGCGTCGCAAAGCCATCAGTATGCTCCCCCGTCGTCATCGCAACATTTGCGCGCTAGCAAAGACGCCTCCTGATCTTCATGGATTCATTAACTCATGGGCTTCATTAACTCATTGACGATTGAGTCATACTTCAGATGGTGGCACTGCTCCATTCAATGATTTCTGCACCGTCAAGCACTCACAGTCCCTAGTCTCGAAGTAGCTCCCCCAAAGTTTGTCCCTCATCGGTTTGGCGTGTGTCTTCTGTTGTCTCGAATCAATGAATTTGCCCCCTTTCACGAGCTTGAGGGTTGAGAGCCTTCGCTCATTGGTGTGCTACACTGTGACAGCCTTTCACGAGGCCTTTTCACTGTCGTATCGTGTGAGGGTCACAGCACTGGCCACCTTTAGCAGAGGCACGCAGTTGCGATATTTGGGTAACAAAGATGACGCATTGACACGAGTGCAAACGTAATCGACGAATCACTCAGTCAACGTCGATGCCTAGCGACCTGAGCATATCCCTCTTCTCGGCTTCCCGTTGCCAACCCAGCATTCTCTCAGCCTGTCTCTGTTCAAAAGCTTGCCTCTCTTGCTCCGCCGTCATCGACTCAGTCCGCAAAGTTTCCCCATCCGCAAGTGCTGCGAGGTTACCAGAGTCTGGCTGAAAGTCGATGTTGCCCACCACCGTAGCGACCACTCCAGCCAGCTTCTGTATGATCTTGACCTCCTCCGTACCCACTCTGAGTCCTAGTCTGAACAACTCGCTCTCCGAAATGACCCTGTCCTTTTCCTGATTGGGCGTCCGACGGACAAAGGTGGGTGCGAGCTGATGAGCATGCTGCGGACTCTGCTCCGACACGCCCAGCATGATCTCGAGTGCCGATTGTCGGTGTCGCAAAGAAGGTAGCGCGTCCAACGTCTTCAGAGCTCTTTGCAATGCTGGTGGAGTTGGAAGATGTTGGCCCAGAGCTTGGGCGGTTCGGGAGGGTGCGCTAGTGGGAGAATGAAGAAGGTCCCTGATGTCCGGATGCACCGAAAGCGATACGAGCTGGGCGTGCGTCAAGGGCATCGGATCGTTGGCTCGCAGCGGGTCCAGAAAGATGAAAGGATCGGGCTCGGGAGGGTAATTCAGCTCCGAAAGCGGTTGCAGGAGCGGTGATGGGGGTCGGTACAGTGCTCGACCTTTACCGTCCTGAGCTGGCAGAGTTGCTACTGATCCGTCAATTTGCGCGATCGTCCCTGCGACTAGTGAGGAGCTGCTCGCCTGCTGGCTAGGCTTATCAATAGCGTCTGACGCTACTACCTCCTCAATCAATCGTCGCCTCTCCCTCTGCAATGCGGCATCTCCAACTTGCCGCTCCACGCCCTCCAACACGTCATTCCTGACCAGGAATCTCACGAATTGCGCTACGTAAGAGACATGCTGAGCAATTTCTTTTTCCAGCAGCGCTCGGAGCAAGTTCGGTTGAGCAAAGGGATTGGACGGTGGGGCTTTGGGGCGAGGACGATGTTGCTTGGCTGATCGAGAGGACTGGAAATCCAGGAGGTGCTTAGATCGGCATTGAGAGCCGTAGCTGCATTTACCTCGAAGCCAATGCTGGCAGACTCGAGCGTTGGGTCCAGCTAGGGTCTGCTCGGATCTCGCATTAGCACCCGAAGCACTCGTCGCACCAGAATCGTTCTGCGTCGCCGCTTCTCCGTGTCGTTTGGACGGGTCTTCTGTCAAACTGGGCTCATCTGCCAACGGCTCACCTTGAACTCTTCGAGTCTCAGAGGTAGAGCCTTCAGAACTATGTGAACCCGAAGACGATTCGGAGTCGCTTGAGTCGCTCGCATCAACGTTTTCTTGTCGTGAGGTGCTTGATGACCTCTGCTTCTCTTCGACTGCGCCTTCCAAAGTCTTCTGCTTGGTGCTGATTTCCTCGGGAGGACCATCGCTGTCGCTGTCACTGTTGCCACCCTCCTCTTGCTGACTCACGGTGTTGTGAGCAGCGCTCGTTCTCTCATCCTCTCGCCTACCTGCGACAGTCTCAGGTTGCCTACTCTCTGCATCTTGCGTAGCTTCGCTCTTTCCATCTGCTTTCTCTCGAGATCCCCATACCCTCTGCTTCTTACTCGATCTCTCTTCGGCGTCTCTGCCCACATTCCGTTCTCTGCTCTTCTCATCATTCCAAGCTTCTCTCAATTTCTTGTCCACATTGACCTGCGTGGGAAATCTTTTGCGCCTCTCGTTCCGCCACTGCTCTATGAGTTGAGGCGTTGACAGGGTGATGTTGAGACCTGAGATGGTCTGTGTTGGATCTACCGCCTGACCCGAGACCTTTAGGGCCGAGCTGGCAGAGGCGCGTGGGGACTCAAAGGAGCCATGGGAGCTCGAGCTACCAGCATCACTTTCGTCATCGCTGCCGCTGTCACTGTCTTCTTCCTGTGAAGGCCCTTCCGGAGCCTGCCGCTTAGCGGCTCGAACTGCCTGCTTACGCTCCTCTGCCAACTCCCATCGTCTGATCGGGTCTATACGATCCAGCTCTGCTCGTCCTCCCGCAGGCAAGATGAGATGTCGATCGTACTTGTGTAGAGCCAGAGAGGTGGGATCTCTTGTTCTGTAGGGACACTTGCGAACACTTGTTGCTTCTCCTCCCGCCTCTGGAGTGGTCTGCTGCGAGGTACTTGGGGATGCATCTACAGGGAGGGACGAGATGGATGGCTGGCGCGCTGGTTGTTCTACGTGCCCGCACTCGAGGTGTCCTTCTAGTCCAAGCACGTCCGTCTCCATCGGTGCTGCACGCTTCGAGCCTCCTCTGCTTGCTCCTCGTCCTCGTCCTCGTGCACCTGGCCCTGCCACACCCATACCCCTACTTCGTCCAATAGTGCGCCCGTGCCCGTGTCCTTGCCCACCTCGACCGCCGCGGTGAACGTGTTCGTGGTGATATGGAGAGTTATTGTATGATTGATGGTTGTATGCGTTCGAGTACGACGAAGGACCGGCGGAAGGCGGACCGTAACCCGAGGCTTGGGATGAGCGGCCCCATGGTCGGTTCATCGTGTTGATCCTTCCCGTCTGGATGCCGACGAAGGTGCAAGGGAAACGAGTCTGAAAGTGAGAGTGTCACGGATAGATTGCAAGGCCGAGCTGCTACACTGCTGCCAAGGTGAAGCAGTGCTGGACCGATTCGAGTTCCTGTCTCGGCTTCGCGGATGATGTCCGATCGGAACGGCTGAACAGGAGGCTATGCGTGGACAAAGCTCAGAGCGTGGACAGTCACGGCTCGGGCAGAGTTTGCTCGATGTCTCCAAGAGCGCTGGAGGTTACGCTGGGTCGGAAGCCTGACAAAAGTCGCGAGTGGGAAAGAAAGTGAACAGCGACCCCTCCCGGTAAGCTTCTTCTCTTTGGTGGAGGAGAGAGAACACGCGGTGGAAATTTGGCACAGCCTGCGAAAAAAGTTGGTGCGCGTCACGTGTTGTGAGTTTCATCTGTGCGTTGCAGCACGTCGAAGTCGGATCGGAGTCAGAGTGTGCGTGCATGGATGGGTCCATCGATCTTGCGTGCGGTCGTCGGCCGTACGCATGCCTATCCTATCCTATCCACCACTCAGCCATCATACCATCGGACACACGGCTGAGGATCTCTTGACATCAACGTGCCTCGTTGTCAGGACACACAGCCAGGCTCGTGTTGGCACTGATCTGCGTTGACCGAGCAAGCTGTCAGTCCCGTCCGGAATCTTTGGGTGCACCAGACAAAGTCACTGCAAGCTACTTGCGGCTTGCGGCAGTGCCGTTGCCGATACTAGGCCCTCTGGCGAGGCACGTCCAGTGTGTCCATACACCATGTCCGCAGCACCTTTGACTCCCTCCTCTGCTCGTGCGCAGGCATCAGCTCCTCCTACGCTAGTGGCCGACCATTCCCTAGGAGTAGACTGCACCTCGGACTGGCGCACCACCCTCGCTTCGTACCTGTCAAGCGCACCCGCCATACCTTCCGACATCTCCACCGAGCAATATGCCCTTGCAGATGGACAGACAAAGTACGCTGAGCTGCCCAAGTCGAGCGAGAGGCTCAGGAGGGTGCTGCAAAAGACCAATGCGAGCTTGATCAGGCACGATGAGCCCCCGGCTTGGCCTGCCATGGGCAACCAAACGATGCAAGACACCTCGGCAGATTCATCGCAGCAAACCGACACGCAGTCGTTCAACTTCTTCGATCTGCTGCCCAACGATGAGCAACAACCTCCGCTGGACCGCTTGACGGGCATCAAGGCGGCAGATGCGACGGATCTCTTGTATGCGCTCAAGACCGGTAAGGTGTCCGTTCGAGAGAGCACAGAGACTTTCTTGTCTCGGTCTGCACTGTCGCACTACGCCACCGGGTGCCTCACCTCGCTTCTGGTGGATCAAGCACGAGCACGAGCACGAGAATTGGACGATCTGCGCGCTCGACTAGTCGAAGCGCACGGCGAGGCATCTGCCATCTCGCACCTTCCCACACTGTTCGGCCTGCCAGTCAGCATCAAGGCACACTTGGGCTTGAGAGGCACGCGAAGCGATAGAGGAATAATCTTTGACGTGCTCAATCCCACTGCGACGCAAAACTTGACTCGAAGCGGGGGAGAAATCGAGAGCAGGCTCAAGGCGCAGGGCACGGATTCGAGTGTGCTCGAACTCGTTCGAAAGCAGGGAACGCATGTCATGCAGGCGGATGCGGTGCTGGTAAGACAACTCAAACAGGCAGGCTGTGTTATCCTCGCGAAGGTGAGCAGAGCTCTTCGAGAGATTCGTGGTTCTGGCAACGGCTGTCCATCGTATAGGCACTGATGCAATGATGCTTCCTGTGCAAATCGCAGACTACAATGCCTCAGACCGTCATGGCTCTTGATACTCGCTCGCATCTGCATGGCCAAACGCTGAACCCGGTCAATCTCAAGCTGAGTCCTGGTGGGAGCTCAGGAGGCGAGGCAGCTCTGGTAGCTAGCGGAGGCTCGGCGATTGGATGGGGCACGGACATAGGTGAGTGCCCAACACTTGACGGTGCGCATACAACTGTAGGTGTTCTTCAAGGCTTCTCACTGCTTATCTGTCCACGGCAAATAGGTGGCTCGGTCAGACAGCCCGCCGCTTGCGTTGGCTTGTACACCATCAGAAGCACCACTGGTCGCTTGTCCATTTCTGGTTCTCGAGGAACGATGCCAGGTAATGAAGGCATCCTAGGCACAGTAGGGCCTTTCACCAACAGTGTTCGCGATCTACGTCTGGCCCTCAGCACGCTCTTGTCACCCGAGACGTCCGCTGAGCAAGAGGGAGATGACCACAGAGTTCAAGCGACGTGGGAGCTGGACCATACTTGCCCTCGCCTACCTTGGAGAGTCGACCTCTCGCTCAAGCGCAAGATTCGCATCGGAGTGCTTCAAAGCGACGACCTTGTCAGACCTTGGACACCGATCCGAAGAGCTTTGCAGCACGCTCAAAGCGTACTCGAACAAGATCCAGCAGCTCAATTCGAGATCGTGCCCTTTTCTTTGGGACCTAAAGGGACCGCTAGGGACGCGTGGAACTTGACAAGACATTTATAGTGAGTTGATATGCGTGCATCGTCTGGTCCACAAGAGCAGGATACTCAAGGCTGCTGCACGAATGCACAGCTTCCCGGATTCTGGAGCGGTGGCGCACACTCTCATTACGAGCACCACCGAGCCTCTCTTGCCGTTGACCCAGACGATCCTCGAGCCTTTCCTGACAACCTCCTCGAGCGGAGCTGGTGTGGCAGCCGCAGCTCCTCCCCAGACCAGCTCGCCTCTACCTCCGTCAGCCTCAACCGCACCAGCGCTGATCCCAAAGGCTTCAAAGACGGCCACTGAGATGTGGGCTCTGAATGCGCAGAGGGAGGCTAGCAGAAGGGCATTCTGGAACAGGTGGAACGAGGCAGACGTCGACTTTGTGCTTGCTCCTGCGCAGACTGGCACGGCGCCGAGGCCTGGAAAAGTGAGTCTGCGTCCGAGCTGGACAAATGCTCTCATTTTGCTGTCGCCCAGATCGCTCATGTAATCTGTGATCACATACACATACCGAACATCGTCAGGTCACGTACTGGGGGTGAGAAATCGCTGCACACACTCTCGCAGCGCACTTTGGTACTGATCGATGTCTTTTGCTATGCTCCTTCAGTTACACCTCCCATTTCAATTTGTGGGACGCTCCAGGGGCTGTATTCCCGACCGGACTCTTTGCGGATGCCCAGACGGACATTGCGTACGAGCAACAAACGTCCGAAATTCCTCTTCCCGAAGAAGCGGATTACGAAAATCGATGGCAAGCATTTGCGGATCAAGAGTGTGCGTGCCTTGAATGGAGTCGTCTTCGTAGGAAAATTACAGACAGCGCAGAGGGCTGACGTCTCTTTGCATGCGTATTGGCTCACTTAGATACGCAAAATCGATCGACCTTCGATGGTGCGCCGCTGTGCTTGCAGCTTTTGGGACGCAAGTGGCACGAGGAAGAACTTATCGATGCGCTTGAAAAGGTAGACGAGGCATTGAAGGCGGCTCTTTCTCGAATGGGCGTGGGTGGGAGCCAGCTAGGCAAGGGTGCCATGACAAGCTCGAGCACAGTGCAAGAGCAGCCTGCAGTTCAAAGTGCTAGTTTGGCAAGCGATCACGGTAATGAGGCGACCAAGTCAGACACGGCTGCAAATGATTCTTCGCCTAACGCAGCCATCGATACCGATCATCGAGTGGATGACGAGGCTCTTGCACCGCCAGCTTCGACTAGCACTGGTGCTTCGGCGGAAGCGCCAGAGGTAAATGGTAGCAAAAGGTGAATCGTCGTTCCCAAGCTGTACTCGAGTAGTTCGAGCGGATGTATGATGAGGCTCCTGACCCAGCCTGCAATGTATGCGTTTCTCCCCTGCGCGTGACAGGCGTCGAGTCGACAAGCCCAGAAGCTCTCCCCTTCCGGCACTCGACAAGTCCATTTTGGCGCTCGGACTTGAAGGCAGCGCAAACAAGCTCGGATGTGGGGTAGTGCGACACAATGTGGATGGCAGCGTGGACATTCTTTCCAACGTTCGACACACCTACGTGACCCAGCCTGGCACCGGCTTTTTGCCTTCTGACACGGAAAGACATCACAGAGCGTGGTTGGTTCGAGTTGCGGAGGAAGCGGTTCGTAGGGCAGGCGTGAAGATTACGGACTGTTCTTGCGTGTGCTTCACAAAGGGACCGGGTATGGGAGGACCTTTGCATGTCGTATCGCTCGTCGCGCGGACCCTTTCTTCGCTTTACAAGCTGCCTCTCGTCGGTGTCAACCACTGCGTCGGCCATATAGAGATGGGAAGGACCATAACGGGAGCCAAAAATCCCATCGTGCTCTATGTATCTGGAGGCAATACGCAGGTCATTGCGTACTCTTCGCAGAGGTACCGGATCTTTGGGGAGACGCTGGACATTGCGGTAGGCAATTGCCTGGACAGATTTGCTCGAGTCATTGGTCTCAGCAATGATCCTAGTCCCGGGCAGAACATCGAGATTGAAGCACGCAAGTGAGTCGCTCGCTCACCTACTACCTCGGCACCTTGCAGCTCTCTCTCGAGAGGCGAAAATGTGTTGACACCACCTGCCTCGTCACGCTCAGAGGCAAACGATTGCTGCCATTGCCCTACTCCACCAAAGGCATGGATGTGGCTCTGGGCGGAATTCTCGCTGCGACCGAAGCATACACGCGGGATGCCCGTTTCAAATCTGACCCCTCGTCACGCGCGCCGAAGCAGGACGCTTCACAGGATTGGGGAGCATTAGCCAACGGGCAGAACTGGTCCTCTGACGGGCGACATGCTGGTCATTCGACAGCTTCCGAACTAGCACCCTCCACAAATTTGACAGGTCAAGACATGTTCGAAAATGTGCAAGCTTTCACATCTACTTCCATTCGAGGCTTGAAGGAGTTTACTCCACAGGATCTGTGTTTCAGTCTGCAAGAACACGTCTTTGCTATGCTGGTCGAGATTACCGAGAGAGCTATGGCGCACGTGGGAAGTAGGGAGGTGCTCATTGTCGGTGGTGTAGGATGCAATGCCCGGTTGCAAGAGATGATGGGCATCATGGCTTCCGAGCGC